CCAGTTCTTCTCAATTGGATCTATAATATATACTGAACTGGACAGTAGGGAAAAATTGTAACTTAAAAATTTGACCTTCATAATCAGCTAAAATGTCCTACACGAATAAATGATTTCTGAATAGCCTTTTAAGATAAAATAGGCTTTTTTTCGTGAAGGTTTCAATATCATATCGGTTCGAAAATACCATGATTCTTTTTTTTTATTTTCACACAAATTTATACAACAGAATATAAAAACAATAAGCCGCAAAACTGCTCAGCAGTTTGTCTGCAGCAAAAGCGCTTAACTTAATACTTATTTCTAATCTATACATACACACACATACATTCCACAATATGGTTGTGCGTGGCAGAAATGGAGATACCCCATTCGACCACCCACGTCATTTTTATAGAAATTATTTTCCTAGTGATTTTGGTACATATATTATTTTATTACCAGTATTATTGTCGACAGAAATATTACAAATGTAAGTACACGCTTGTAATATTTCTGTCGACACTTGAGACCCTTCCTTTACTTTACGTCTCTACTGACATAGATTTAAGTTAAGTGTTAAATCACTCTACGTCCCGACTCCGCGTCGACTGTACGCCTCATTAATAAGCCATGCCTACACTTGTAATATTTCTGTCGACACTTGAGACCCTTCCGTTAGTTAACGACTCAACTCACATAGATAAAAGTTAAGTGTAAAATCAGTCTACGTCTCGACTCCTTGTCGATTGTACGTCATTATTAAGCCATGGAGCACACTACCAATAAACATAATAATGTCTAATAAATAGTACTATCATTTTACCAGTATACTCACTACCTACACACTACAATAAATAATATATTCAACATATATAACGCTACAGTGATGAGGATAACCACTGCGCTACGTTACTATATCTATGTCACTCATAGTATAGTCTACTCATAGTAGAATAGAATAGAATAGAAAATTTATTAATTCAAATAAACTTACATTGAAGCTCTTTTGAATAGTCATCACATTTTTTTTAATCTACCGCTCATTCGGAAAGCTGTCTCATCACAAGAAGAACGAGCAAGAAACTTGTGTGTTGCTCTTTTAAATAATTTTATTCTTACTTTACAATTTATGTTTAAGTGTGTGAATACAAACTACCGATTAGTTCTAATTCAATTAAATAATCAAATAGAAAAAATATATAAAAAATAGTACAAAGCAAACCCGTATGTTCTTTTTCTATACTATGATGGTGGCAAACAAGCATACATCTGATGATAAATGGTTACCGTAGCCTATGGACGCCTGAAACATCAGCGGTGTCACGCGTTGCCGATCCTTAAGAAACCTTAATATACCCTTCTTGAAAAACCTCATGCTGTAGTCTCGTGGGAAAACCTCGGCAGGAATTTCATTCTACAATGTAAGTGTACGCGGGAGGAAGCTCCTCTGAAACCGCACTGGGACCTTAGAAGTATTGCCTTTAATCTTAATATATAGATAAATCTTTACGTAAGTCTGTCTAGCTACCTAATGATTATTTTATCTTTACGTTGCGATGTGAAGTAATCATGACATCAGTGTATCGGATAACGGTCAACTGTCACTGTCACCGTTGATCTGTGATGACGACCTTCGTGGTAGCAGCGTGATCACTTTACCTTAAGGTAAAATCTGTATTATGATAGACTCTATCTAGATAGGTTATCATTTGGATTGTAGTAATGATATAGAAACGAAAACATAATTTGAGATACGAACTATATCGTTTAGAAAAAGTTAATAGGTCTTTTATGGGAATAGGAAAGGAAAGGATATGTTGTAATTGCCCTTAAATAAATAAAAACATCTGTTAAATCATATTTACTGAGCGAAGCCTATTACTCACTAAACGATTACTTGAATGACGAGCGTGCATGGCAATAGTTGTTCATGCACGGGATTTTCATTTAATGTTAGACATAGACACCTATATAAATACATTGTAAATAAACTGGCTTTAAAAAAAAACAGTAATTCAATTGAGTTTCTTGCCAGTTCTTCTCAATTGGATCTATATAGCGAACTTAAAAATTTGACGGTCATAAGCGGCTAAAATGTCCTACATGTATAAATGATTTTTGAATTTGAATTTGAATTTGAATCCTTATTCATGACGACCTCGGTGGTTTAGCGGTTTAGCCGCCTTACTTCCGATGGTCGCGGGTTCGATTCCTCGCACGGTACAAACATTTGTATTCATGAGTATATTTGTTTGTATCGCTCTGGGTGTTTTCTATGTATACTATATATGTATTCACAAAAAAAAGTATCCGTGTATTTGTATCGCTTGTGTGATACCCATCACACTATTTAGCTTTAGACTAGAAGGCTCTATGTTAATTGAAAATAAAAATTAAAATATGATACGAAAAAATTACGGTAATGTATGATACATTCAAACAAAAGGATACAGATTTTTGAGGTCAGGTCAGTTAGTCCATCGTAACAAATTCACAAAGAATTTGCCACGATGGTTTCCAGGGGGAACCGCGTGGAGGTCAACCATGGTACATTGTTAGTGAAGCGGAGGTATCTAATATGTCTGATGAGTGAGAGGTGCTGAGGATAAGGAAAATACGGAGACAAAATAGAATACGACAGCGATATATTGTAGTTTATTAGTAACTAGCTACTTGCCCCGGCTTCACACTGGTGTACATGTATTATATATCACTTACATCATACTTGTACATGAGACACACACTATATAGTGCAAAATGTTATGTTTATTTCAACATCTTTGTTTTTCTTATAATTTAGATTTTTAAATATGTATCTATTGATAAAATATTGTTTATATATATCATGTTATAATTTATTTATTTATTTATTTATTTGAGCTACCAACAAGACATACACTATGAGGTTACAATTATTATAACTTGCGAAGAGTTCAGGTATATAGTGTTGACTTAATTACTGGTTGCCACGGCATGCGATATTGGTTACAGAAGTTTATATATATATATGTATACAATTATTATTATTATTATTATTTTATTATTATTTTTTTTTTTTAATTATTATATTTTTTGTTTTTTATATATACTATATTTATATATGTATTTATATTATATTTATATATTTATATGTGTATAAATATTAAAGTTTTAATTTAATTGTGTTAATGAAACGGGTTTGACTTTTGTCTCAATATGTGTTCTTGAGTGGTTGACTTGAACTTGGAGAAACCAGAAAACACGTCAATATCCGAACTCCTCGCTACAATATTATAGTTATTTTCTAATCTATTAATGGTGGAGAAGTGTCCCAAATTGCTTCTGAATCGCTTTTTTGCAAATAAGGAATACTTTTTACTGCGAGGTAATTTATAGGGTGCGTTTATAGTTATTTGTTCTAGCAATGCAGGGCAATCAAGAACACCATTTATAATTTTATGGAAAAATGCACCGTCAAGCAACTGTCTCCTGTCTTCGAGACTCGTTAGTTTGAAATATTTCAAACGTTTATTAAATGATTTTAGTTCCTTTGCCATTCCGCTATGATAAGAAAGGTGCCAGACAAATAATAATTTTCATCCTTCTATAATAAAAGTACATGTATTGGGAAGGAACAGACTTCTGTCATACGGCTAATGCTAGTTCAGAAGCCAGGTCACACATAAATACTGAAAGGATTGGTATTGTCTAGAAAGTGTACTATTGTACACTATTGTATAAATAATATTGTAACGATCCGTCTGAATCAAATAAAGATTATTATTATTATTATTATTATATATAAACCTTCCTCTTGATTCACTCTATCAATTAAAAAAACCACTTCAAAATCCATTGCCGTAGTTTTAAAGATTTAAGCATACATAGGGACGGACAGACAGCGACAGCGACTTTGTTTTATACTATGTAATGAAAAGTTTATTATTCAATTGTTACTAACAACGATAAATACCAACGTGCCAATACAGATATCATTGACATAAATACGTAGAACATAGTGGCAGGTAATAAACAGATAAAGTCGACAGTCGAACGTGTTCGTACATCTATAGCGGACAGCAATATTGTATCGGTCGCGTATAGGTACACAAGAACGGTTGCAGTGTAATAGTTCTTAAAAAAATCAGCAAAATGACGACTAAAGAGAAAATGGCTGAGGAATTGAACAGTTCCAGTAAGTACATTTTTTAAAATAAAACAAACATAAATATTTACAAATTAAAATTCATCTATTACGGACAACAATATTGTCACAGTCACAATTCAATAACGATCACAGTGCAATAGTTATTAAAAAAAGCAACAGAAAAATGTCGACTAAAGAGAAAATGGCTGAGGACTTGAACAGTTCCAGTAAGTACATTTTTTAAAATAAAACAAACTTAAATATTACAAATTAAAATTCATCTATTACGGACAACAATATCATCACAGTCACAATTCAATAACGATCACATGCAATAGTTATTAAAAAAACTACAGGAAAATGTTGACTAAAGAGAAAATGGCTAGGACTTGAACATTTCCAATAAGTATATTTTTTAAAATAAAACAAACATAAATATTTACAAATTAAAATTCATCTATTACGGACAACAATATTGTCAGCCACAATTCAATAACGATCACATGCAATAGTTATTAAAAAAAACTACAGTAAAATGTCGACTAAAGAGAAAATGGCTGAAGACTTGAACAGTTCCAGTAAGTACATTTTTTAAAATAAAACAAACATAAATATTTACAAATTAAAATTCATATTACGGACAACAATATAGTCACAGTCACAATTCAATAACGATCACATGCAATAGTTATTAAAAAAAACTACAGGAAAATGTCGACTAAAGAGAAAATGGCTGAGGACTTAAACAGTTCCAGTAAGTACATTTTTCAAAATAAAACAAAGATAAATATTTACAAATTAAAATTCATCTATTACGGACAACAATATTGTCACAGTCACAATTCAATAACGATCACAGTGCAATAGTTATTTTAAAAAAAACTACAGGAAAATGTCGACTAAAGAGAAAATGGCTGAGGACTTGAACAGTTCCAGTAAGTACTTTTTGTTAAATAAAACAATAATAAATATTTACAAATTAAAATACATCTATACAGTAATATTTCAGTAAACATCTTATCCACTGTTCCAATATTTCGTAAATGATTTCATTTTATTTCAACAATCATAGTCATGCAAATTTTTGCACCATACGAGGAATTGAACCCGAGACCATTGGAAGTAAAACGCCGTGCTAAACCGCTAGACTACCGAGGTCTTCATTAAATATATTTATAACCCAAATTGTGAGTATAAAATGAAATACATGACTATAATTTTTGTACCATACGAGGAATTGAACCATACATCATTGGAAGTTAAACGGTGTGCTAAACCGCTAGACCGCAGAGATCTTCATTATATATACTTACTAGCTACTCGCCCCGGCTTCACCTGGGTATACATGTATTATACATATAAACCTTCCTCTTGAATCACTCTATCTATTTAAAAAAAAACGCTTCAAAATCCGTTGCGTAGTTTTAAAGATTTAAGCATACATAGGGACGGACAGACAGCGACAGCGACCTTATTTTATACTATGTAATGATAACACTTTCTTTCTTTCAATAACCCAAATTATGAGTATAAAAAGAAATGTATGACAATATTGACTACAGTCATACAAATAATTAAAAAAAAAACAATAATATGAAGTGATTTATCTTAATTCTATAAGAGAGCAAACAGATAAATCAAATAATATTCAATATTTCTGATAATCTTACCATGATATCATATAGCTGAGTTCGTGAAATAGAGAAAATGTTTCAGTAATACTTTACTACCAAAAATAAGCTTACTATAAAATTAAAGAATTTATAAATCATAATAATGTTTTTGTAGAAATTTGTAGAAATATCTAACTTAAAATTCATAGCGCTGACAATGTTATCTGATTGCAAAGAGATAAGTGAGTGCGGTTTGTTATTGATTGTCGCATGCCTAAACCTTGTTAATGTAAATCCATTTTAAAGTAACATTTATTTAAAAGAGCAACATACAAGTTTCTAGTTCATTCTTCTTGTGATGAATCTGCGTTCCGAATGAGCGGTAGAATAAAAAAATGTTACTATTCAAAAGTGCTTGTATTAAGTTTATTTGAATAAAGATTATTTATATTACTACCAACTAGAAATGGTGGTAAATAGTGAATCTGTTATTTACGATCAGTAAGGTGCAGTTAATTTTATTAGTCTATTATCGCGTGAAGTTGTCATCACCTGTCTTGTGCGATACTGCAATTTTTATTCACATACAATTTTCGCATGATTTCGAAATATGATACTTATTTATTAAGCAGTTAGAATCTTAATATTTATAATCGTGTAGATCTATTACAGACTCTTATGATATGTCAAATCTACCGTCAGAACTGACATGATACTCAGCTCGTATTCTTTTCAAATAAATGTTGTATATGTTTACAATAATACAGATTTATATTTGATTTCAAATTTGGGAGGATGTAGTGATCACCAGCATATGCTATTGCAAATGCAAAAAATCTAATCAGTGTTCGTAACCTGAACAGACCAGTCCCTACAAGAAGCACCCGTTGACGAGTATGACGGATAAGCCAGTCATCATTGCACTCAGCCATATTAGAGGGAGCACATTGAACCGGGTCACCACGACGCCAGAATTTTGAACTTTATATCGAGCATGACTGTTTCAGGTTACTCCACTACTTCATTTATATAATTTACAGCATAGGCTGTAACAATCACAGTTTTTTCCCATTACAATATTTAATTTATGTTATTTAAATTACAACATGTCATTGCTATATTTATAATAACTTTATCTGATGTTTAATACATTGATATCTCATTGATAAATATAATACTCATTATTCACATTAACCCAATAAAAGTAGTTTCGAATGGTCAGTTTTTAAGTCTACCGTCACATTTGAAATACATGTGCCAAGAGGAATAGGAAAAAAAAACTCGGCCAGTGTTCTTATCAAACAAAAGTCGTGCAAATTTACTTCCATGGTTAATATTTTATGACAATACGAACTACTAAACCGCATGAAATGCAATTAATAATAGAAAATATTGAATAAACAATATGTTGAGTATTTTTATGGTGATGCATAATCGTGTAACTTTTAGATATGGAATAGATATATTTAGTGGTATCTAAATTCTTTACACACTCTATCTTAAGCACACACGCATTCACTTCATCACACACAGTAACACACGACACCGTCCTCGCCAGCGAAGACGACGACCTTAACCACGCCATACCGCGGGCGCGCGGGCGTCTGCGAGCGCCCGGGACGGGCCGGTGCGGTGTGTTAAATAACTACATAGATCACCGAGACCTTGGTGAATAAATAGTTCGGAATGTGAGTTTGTCGAATAAGCGTCGTTTTATTTGATATCTGTAATTTATACATATAAATAAAATTGGAGTGTCTGTTTGTAATATTGAAATAACTGTTTTTTACTACATGCATATGAATATAAATACGATACATACACCAAAATAACACTTTTTACATTTTTGTCTGTCTGTTTGTTCCGGCTAATCGCGGTTGGACCGATTTTGACGGAACTATTTTTGGCAGGTAGTTGATGTAATAAGGAGTAACTTAGGATACTTTTATTTTAGATAAAATCTCTAAATAACTTTTTTTGATGAATTCCACGCGGACGAAGTCGCGTGTACAGCTAGTTTTATATAAAAGTCATGTTTTTGTCTGTATCTCGGATTGCTTCTACTAAACCCTGAATCGGATTTTGACGGTGTCCACTATCGTTTGAGAATTTCTTACGTTATTATTTTATACTCTTCTGTTACGTCTGTATGCGTAATATTAAATGATCAAACGAACTTACCTGTGATGTTCGATCATTATTATATGAAGTGCTTCGTTCGAAGATATATATATTTACCATGTAGTTTCTTCAAATCACTAGGCAACATAACGCAATTTTAGAGCTAGATTCTAAAGCCTAAAAAAAAAAAAAAGAAAATTAAACGTTTCACTGTCAACACTTGTCATACTCTATAGACAATAGATTGATACTTGTCATTCCTTTAGAGACTATATCACAAACTCAAAGGGTGGGATTAAGTAAACCAGGTGTATTACTACTATATATGTTCTCTGGGTGGGTATATATCTTCGAACGAAGCACTTCATATAATAATGATCGAACATCACAGGTAAGTTCGTTTGATCATTTATTATATTCCAGTGCTTCGTTCTCGATATATATATTTACCATGTAGATATTTAGAGTCTCACTGAGTTTGTGATTAATTTTTTCCTTAATATTACAACTGGATAGTATAAGCTGTAATAAAACATCTTTCTATTTTTGGTATAAATCAGTCTTTTACTACAAAAATTAAAATTATGGATAATTCTCATTTTCAACATTAACATTATCAAGTCTTTAAACATAATTATTAATCATATTAATCAGTCATATAAGAAATTCTTCATTACACAGTTCTTAATTATAACAAGTTACAATTATTATCACATTATTATCCCTTAATACACACTTATTTTTATATTAAAAATTGTATAAGTACTATAGTTAGCACTCACATTGCGGATGAAACAGTATTTGTAAAAATATTAGTATTTTGCATAATGGGTCTATTATAAAATTTTGCAAATGTCTGCGAAGACTCTGTCCAACCCGCGGTATTTCTAATAGCCTCTATAGACACACCCTTCATCTTGGCCATGGATGTTGAAGCATGACGAGTAGAGTGGCCCGTAAAAATATCTGTATTAATGCCAGAATTTGTCAACGCATTTTTTATCCAACGACTTAATGTGGATGGTGTAGCCGCTCTATGTGGTTTTTTAGTGGTTATAAATAGTTCTTCAACATCACCTCTTATATCTTTGGTGCAATTAATGTAAAACTGTAAAGTAAGTGATGGGCAAATCTCAGGTTCGGTATAGAATGGTAAGACCAATACCGGTTGTGAACGATCTGGCGCAGATGTTTTAGTTATATCTGTGATATTTATATGTAAACCTGACTCTACATAAGATATATTTTTAATCTTTATTAAAGAAAGTGTTTGTACACGTTGTGCTCTACATAAGGCTAGTAATGTAACCAATTTTTTCGTCAAAATTTCCAACGGTAAAGAAATGCAAGGATGCCATTTTCTTAGTGTATTTAATACAATAGATGGGTCCCAAGTAAAAGAGTATTTCGGTTTTGGAGGATTTGTTTTGTAAAAACCTTTCAACAACCTTTTAATACGCTCATCCCTCCTTATACGCGAACCAATTATTAGAGAGAGAGCAGATTTATGAGAATTAAGGGTTCCATAAGAAGAGCCTTTCTCAAACTGAATTGTTAAAAACTGTATTATTTTTGGTACTGAGGCACACAAAGGGTTAATTTGGTTTTCTTGACAGAAAGCCCACCATATTTTGTAGGTTACATCATATTGTTTTAGTGTGTGTTTTGATAGTGAAGCTATCATAGTATCTAAAGCGATAGTGGGGATAGCTTGTCTTATCATAGATTGCCTGATAAGATTCCGCCCACCAGGATAAGTTGCTGGTGAAGAGGATGGCAGCTCCTGTAAGGCGACAATAACAGATCTTTATCTGGCCCAAAATATAATAAATCAGAAACCAACATTTCCTGCATAACGGGGAACCATGGTTGGGATGGCCAGTAGGACACGACTATGATTCCTGAGGCTTTTTCATATCTTATTTTCATTAGACATTTTAAAATTAGACTAAATGGTGGAAAGGCATAAAAATAATACTTTGACCAATTTACAGTAAATGCATCTACATTTAATGCATCTGGATCTGGCTTCCAGGATAAATATAAGGGACATTTAGTGTTAACCCTAGACGCAAAAGGTCCACCTGTGGTGTACCAAATTTATTTATTATTTCTTTAAAAACGCGTGAATTTAATTCCCACTCGATATCTGTATTTGTTTTTCGAGATTCTATATCTGCTTCTACATTATCTGAAGATTTTATATAAGAGGAGAAGAGCCATATTTTCCTTTCTTCGCACCATTTCCAAATATTTCTAACCAAGTCATTAAGGTGTGGGTACTGAATACCACCCATACGATTAATGTAAGAAATAGCCGTTTTATTATCTACTCTTAACAGAACCTGAATTTCTTGTTTGTTTTTAACAAAAGTTTTCAATGCCAGAAAAATAGCTAGCAGTTCTAGATAATTTATGTGAAATTTATATTCATTTTCCTTCATTTCCATTAATTTTACTGTTATTACAGACCGCGCCCCAGCCCGTTCTAGATGCATCAGTATAAATTTCAATATCATAATTACGGACTAATATTGATTTTGATACTAGCAATATATTTTTTGCCCACCATTCAAGATCTAACCTCGTATCTCGGTGTAAATCCATAATACAATCATAATTATTAAAAATTTTTAGTAAAGTTAGGTATTTATGACGTTCTAAATATTTGGTGTATAACCAGCCATACTGTACAGCTGGGCAGGCTGACATTAACAACCCTATAAGTTGGGCAAATTCCCGTATTGTACATTTACACATGTTAAGGAATTTATTTGTCACCTTTTGAAGTTGATATGTTTTTTCTAAAGGTAATTGCATTGTCATACTACTTGTATCATAAATAAAACCCAAAAAATTGCAAGATTTGGAAGGTACTAAAAAACTTTTTTCATAGTTTATAACAAATCCTAAGCATTCCAGAGTAAAAATAGTCTGTTTAACATTTTCTAAACATGACTGGTAAGTAGTGCCTAGGCACAGTAAATCGTCCAGATAAATTATATTCTTATATCCCTTTTTCCTTAAGTATGTGACTACTACTCTCATGACTTTTGTAAAAATGTAGGGAGCGGAGGAGAGGCCATATGGTAGTGAATTAAATTCATATAATCTATCATATTTAAAGCGAAGGAATTTTCGATTATCTGGGTTTATGGATATAAGCAAATATGATTCTTTAAGGTCAATTTTTGCTAAAAAAATATTTTTATTTATCAAGGATGCCGCAGTCCTATGATCTTCCATTTTAAAGTGTGCTGTAGCTACAAACTTATTTAACTGTTTTAAATTTAAAATAAATCTTTTACTGCCATTTGGTTTAGGAATTAGAAAAATAGAGGAAATGAATTGACCTGGATGGGGCTCACAAACAGAAATGGCCCCTAATTTAAGTAATTTAGTAATAGCAATTTTCATATCCTGCTACTCTATATCAGAATTATACTGAAATGAACTTGGAATAATGTTTTGAAATGGTAAAGTGGTGAAAGGTATAGAATAACCTCTCATGTATTGGATGATTGTAGTATCATCAGTGATTTTTTCCCAACATTGGATAAAATGTGACAATCTGCCACCATGACATACCATTACTTCCGAGCAGGAGGTTTCATTTCTTGTTTGGATTTCCTTGTTGTATAATGCTGCTGTTTGTATGGAAGGTTTCGTTGCATCAGGCGTTTTGGCCCACCTCGATTGAAGGGTTTTGGTGCTGCATATTGAGGCAGGCCCCGGAAATTTCCCGAAGTGCTAGGATTTAATGTTCTTCTGTTTGAGGGCTTGAAATTGTCAGATTTTTTAATTGTTTGTCCAGTTTTTTGTGCGGTTTTCAAGGCGTTTATTTTTTCTGATAAATTCTCTCCATAGAGATATTCATCTCTATCTATATCTTTTATAATTTCTAAAAACTTTTTGTCCAAGGAAGTTGAGATTATTTTCTTCTTACTAAATGTCAGGTGACAATGTAAGTCTGTTAATATTTTTGAGGCATCACTTAATATTTTTATTACATTTAGACTATCACCTGTGTCGGTAATTGTCAAGGATAGTGCCTTGTTCAAAGCTGATATCCCCTGACCTAACTGTTGTTGATCAGCCTCTATTTTCTTATCTCGTCTTTTTCCAGTATCAGAAATTGTGGCCATGATTTCTGGATTGAGCTTAGGAGCTTGCAAAGTTTTGCAATTATCAGGTATTAAATACTGCTTCAGTAATGACTCTTTTACTTCTTTATCTAACCCATTTTTCGCTATTTTATTCCATCGTTTTGCTAACTAATTATTGATATATTCACCGAATAGAGGCTTTTCCTCCATTGCATCACCAAGAGCTTGCAATATATCACTATTTAAAGTTGGTTCACCTGTGTACTGTTCAGTGGACCCCCCGGTTGGTTTATCTGAGTATCTCTGTGAAGTTGTTGTTGTATAACGTTTGGGTCCATATTTTCTATATCTGAGGGCAGATTAGTCCCTTGTGAACATATAGATACAGCATCTATTAAAGATTCTGTATAATTGTTTTCCTCAGATTGATCTGAAAGGCGTGAATAAATTTAGAAAAGCCACTTTTTTAAATTTACCAGTTTTAATAAAACTTGTATATTATGTTTTTAGTAAACATTGCCGTCGCAACATCTCACGGATGCTTCCCAGGCTTAATTTGACTTGCATGTTCAAGTTTTTATTGTGATACCCTTCGTAACATCTCTCGGATGCTCCCTAGGGTTTATACAGCATGTATGTTCCAGTTTTAGAACAGACACCTTTCATAGTAACTATACTAAGTATAATCGCCTTGCTTAACGCAACTTCTATATTCAAGTTTTAGTGCAAATAGCCTTTGTAATGTCTCACGGACATTCCCTAGGCATGACACAACTTGCATGTTTTTAGTACTGACGACCTTTATAATATCTCAACGATATTTTCTAGGGATGACGCAACTTGCATGTTCAAGTTTTTGTACCCGTAACCTTTGTAATGTATATTGGGATATTGCATATCTGTAATTATTCACTATATAAAACTTACCTGTCTGTTTATATTGGATAGATTCTTCTGAATCCGAGACGCAATATGATGATTTACGTCGTCGAGCTTTATTACGTTTCTCTTCAAGACGTCGTATTTTATTTTTGTATTTCTGTATTTTGTCTTCATTTTTCCGTTTCGCCATGCTAAAAACACTCAATGTTATATGTTTTCAATTAAAAAATACTGAGAATTAAAGAACAATTAAAAATTATGACGCAATAGTTGCCACGCAAAGTAAAGAATGACAAGTATCAATCTATTGTCTATAGAGTATGACAAGTGTTGACAGTGAAACGTTTAATTTTCTTTTTTTTTTTAGGCTTTAGAATCTAGCTCTAAAATTGCGTTATGTTGCCTAGTGATTTGAAGAAACTACATGGTAAATATATATATCGAGAACGAAGCACTGGAATATAATTATTTATATAAGGCCTCCATTTTGTTCTCTATACACCTGAGTAAAGACGAAGTGGGTTGTTATTAATAGCTTATTACTTACATTTATTGTACATTGAAACATATATCTTATTTTTCTCAAAAAAAAAAAATGAATGTACTTATATACTACATATATATATTACTAGCTTTTGCCCACGGCATTTATCGTGTTAATTTATCCTCTTAGAGATGGAATTTTTCAAAATCTTTTCTTAGGAGATGCTTACGTCATAGCAGCTTTATGCATGCAAAGTCTCAGCCCGATCGGTTTAAAATTGACAAAGTTTCATACAAACTTTCATCCCCTATTTTATCTCCTTGGGGGTAGAATTAATCAAAATCCTTTCTTAGCGGATGCCTACGCATAACATCTACTTGCGTGCCAAATTTCATCCCGATCCGTCCAGTGGTTTAGGCTGTGCGTTGATAGATCACTACGTCAGTCACTTTTGAGTTAAATACATATATATAGATTCTTCTGTTACGTCTGTATGCATAATATTTAATTATATGAGGCCTCCATCTTGTTCTCTATACACCTGAGTAAAGACGAAGTGGATTGTTATTAATAGTTTATTACTTACACATATTGTACATTGACATATATATATTATTTTTCTAAAAAAAGTTATTAATTTATTTTATGAATATACTAGCTACACGCCCCGGCTTCGCATGTAAAACATATTATACGTACGCCTCCTGAATCACTCTATCTATTAAAAAAAACCGCTTCAAAATCCGTTGCGTAGTTTTAAAGATTTTTGCATACACAGGGACGGACAGACAGCGACAGCGACTTTGTTTTATACTATGTAGTGACAGAAAAAACAGGTCTAAACTATATATAGATCTTGCCACAATTTATATAACAAACTAAGTTATGCGAGGAATCGAACCCGCGACCATCCGAAGTACTAAACCGCTAGACCACCGAGGCCGTCTATTAGAAGGAAGTGTTTACAACAAGCAGATAAACATATGAAAAACAAAGTACTTGTTGCTTTATAGTCTTCATTGATATAGATGTATATCGTAATCTTTTATTACATAACCGGGTATTCGGCATCTACAAACCTTTTGTAATCTTTCTTTTCTTTAATTTCAAAACCTGTAATAGACCTACATGAATAAAGATATTTTGAATTTGAATTCGATGCCGAATGCCTTCATCTTTCTTAATTTCAAAACCGGTTATAGGCATTCGGCATCTACAAGCTTGTAACCTTTTGTAATCTTTCTTTATTTTAGAACTGAATATTGTCATTCGAAATCTACAAACTTGTAACCTTTTGTAATCTTTGTTAATTTAAAAACCGGCTGTAGTCATTCGGATCTATAAGCTTGTAACCTTTTGTAATCTTTCTTAATTTCAGAACCGGGTATTGGCATTCGGTATCTACATACTAGTAACCTTTTGTAATCTTTCTTAATTTCAAAACCGGGTGTAGTCATTCGGCATCTACAAGCTTGTAACCTTTTGTAATCTTTCTTAATTTCAGAACCGGGTATTGGCATTCGGTATCTACATACTAGTAACCTTTTGTAATCTTTCTTAATTTCAAAACCGGGTGTAGTCATTCGGCATCTACAAGCTTGTAACCTTTTGTAATCTTTCTTAATTTCAGAACCGGGTATTGGCATCCGGCATCTACAAACTGTGCTCATGTTCTTCGGGGTCCTGTTGGCTTACTGCATGAGGGTCAATATGAGCATGGCCATTGTTGCTATGACTGACGGCAGTGAAAATGTAAGTCAGTATATATCAAAGTCCGTTTAATTAATAATCTTAAGAAATAAGTTATATAAAAAGATAGCTAAAACGCATTTTATAAGGTATCTTCCTACAACGTAGTGGGAGACTCGCTGATTTTTTTTTACTGTTTTTTTTTTGGATTTGTACAGAAAATGTGACGATGGCAATCCCATCATATCTGTACAAAATAATAAAAATAAAAAATCTAAATACATATATATAACTCAAAGGTGCCTGACTGACATAGTGATCTATCAACGCACAGCCCAAACCACTGGACGGATCGGGCTGAAATTTGGCATGCAGGTAGATGTTCGGACGTAGGTATTCGCTATGAAAGGATTTTGATTAATTCTACCCCCAAGGGGATAAAATAGAGGATAAAAGTTTGTTTGAAACTTTGTCAAGTTTAAACCGATCGGGCTGAGACTTTGCATGCATAAAGCTACTATGACGTAGGCATCCCCTAAGAAAGGATTTTGATAAAGTTTCCACCCCTAAGGGGTAGAATTAATCAAAATCCTTTCTTAGCGGATGCCTACGTCATAACATCTGCCTGCAAATTTCAGCCCGATCCGTCCAGTGGTTTGGGCTGTGCGTTGATAGATCACTATGTCAGTCACCTTTAAGTTATATATATTTAGATGTATATTTATATAGGTGTCTATGTCTAACATTAAATGAAAATCCCGTGCATGAACAACTATTGCCATGCACGCTCGTTATTCAAGTAATCGTTTAGTAAGACTTTGCTCAGTAAATATGATTTAACAGTTGTCTTTGGTAATAAAAATAAAAAAACTGTGTTTATTTTCAGTCGTTTGACTGGAGCATGCAAGTCCAGAGTGTGATCCTCTCATCATTCTTCTGGGGTTACGTGGTACTCCAGGTGCCGAGTGGTGAGATGGCTGCCAGATTTGGCGGGAAAGTGCTGCTATGTTTATGTGTTGGTCTTAATTCGGCTACATCTTTATGCATACCAATAGCAGCCTATTATGTGAGTATGAAATTGAAGATGATCAAGTTTTGTATATCTTACACAAATTCCTTTTCACAATTTTTGTCTGTCTATCTATATGTCTGTTTGTTCTAATCTCTGTTGTTTCGGCTAATCTCTGAAATGGCTGGACCGATTTTGACGGGACTTTTATTGGCAGGTAGCTGATGTAATAAGGAGTAACTTAGGCTACTTTTATTTTAGAAAATAAAGTTAAATTCCACGCGGACGAAGTCGCGGGAACAGCTAGTCTATACATATAAAAGAAATTGGACTGTCTGTTTGTAATATTGAAATAACCATTTTTTACTACATGCATATGAATATACATAAATACGGTACGTACACAAAAATAACATTTTAAAAAATTTTTGTCAGTCTGTCTGTTTGTGCCGGATAATCTCTGAAATGGCTGGACCGATTTTGACCGGACTTTTATTGGCAGGTGTAATAAGGAGTAACTTAGGCTACTTTTATTTTAGAAAAATAAAGTTAAATTCTATATATTTCTTATAGTTTATAATAAAAAATTTAATTAGTATAAATATGGACTTAATGTTACTTTTAAAGTATTATTTCAGGGTGGATGGCAGATGGTGTGCGCTTGTCGGGTCATTCAAGGGTTGTCTCAAGGTTTCATATATCCATCATTGCACACCCTTATTGGAAAGTGGGTGCCTTTGGAGGAGAAAACCACGTTGGGATCGTTCATTTATGCTGGTGAGTGAATAATCTTCATTACGTAATAAAACAGTTCTACAGTTTGGCTAGTCAATATATAAAAACAACTGTACTATTATCTGTATTAAATAAAGTAAAAAAAAAAAAAGTTCCTTTGCAAAAAAGCTTACTATAAAATTGAAGAATTCGTTAACGATAATAATGTTTTTATAGAAAAACTTTAAATCCACAGCACTGACAATATTATCTGATTACACTAATAATGAGTGCGTAGCGATTTCTATGTTGATTATCGCATGCCTCTTACTTGTTATACTGTAATTATTTATATAAAAAAACATCTATTAAAAAGAGCAACACACAAGTTTCTTGCTCATTCTTCTTGTGATGAATCTGCGTTCCGAATGAGTGGTAGAATCAAAATATGACTATTCAAAAGTGCTTGTAATGAGTTTATTTGAATATAGATTATTTCTATTTCATAGTAAAAAACAATGATAAGGTAAGTATTCATTTATGAGGGGTAATTTCAAGAAGGGTATATTAAGGCTTCTTAAGTAACGTTTAAGTTCTTAAGTTAACGAATACGAGACACTGGTGTTTCAGGCGTCCATAGGCTACGGTAACCGTTTACCATCAGATGGGTCGTATGCTTGTCGCTGTCGCTGTCTGTCCGTCCCTATGTATGCTGAAATCTTTAAAACTACGCGACGGATTTTGAAGCGGTTCTTTTAATAGATAGAGTGATTCAAGAGGAAGGTTTATAGACGACCTCTGTGGTCTAGCGGTTTACGTCCGATGGTCGCGGGTTCGATTCCTCGCACGGCACAAACATTTGTATTCATGAGTATGATTGTTTTTATCGGTCTGGGTGTTTTCTAGGTATTTACGAAAAAAAACATATCTATGTATTTGTATCAGTTGTCTAGTACCCATAACACAAGCTTTAGGTAGCTTAATTTGGGTCTAGATGGCGTTGTGTGAATTGTTCTGAGATTATTTATTTATTTATTTATGTATGCCCGTGCGAAGCCGGGGCGAGTAGCTAGCTTTATATATAAAATTCTGGTGTAACAATGTTATGGCCAATTTACATTCAGCCCGAGTGGGCAGGGAAGTGAGCACGGAAGTCAGCAGCGCGAGAGTGTAAACACGAGTGGAAACACTTCCCATGCCATTGTCGCTGCCACTCGCGCTGCCCGGCGCTCCCTCGATTGTCGGTTTTTCGTGCGCGAGTCAAAGGACTGGCAGCGCGAGTGGCAGCGTGTTTTTACATTCAGCCCTCTCGCTCAGTTGTCGCCCGGCAATATTTACGGCAGCGCGAGTGGCAGGGGAAGCGGCTGAATGTAAACGTAGCATAATTAGTTACCAGACTCCTCCGAACCGGCTTTTACATACATATTCAGTAGAAATAGAAATAGAAATAATCTTTATACAAATAAACTCATTACAAGCACTTTTGAATAGTCATATTTTGATTCTACCACTCATTCGGAATGCAGATTCATCACAAGAAGAACGAGCAAGAAACTTGTGTGTTGCTCTTTTTAATAGATGTTTTTTTTATATAAATAATTACAGTATAACAAGTAAGTAGGTCTGAGAATCGGCTACTAATTATTTTTCATAACACTAAATGATTAGGGTTGTCTATATACGTTATAAATAAATAACCCTGGACAATTAACACAGTGCCAACTAGTCTCACGGGAAGCAGAGCTTGTGTTGTGGGTACTAGACAACTGATGTAAATACACAATTTTTTTTTTTGTAAATACGTACATAATATATATAAAAAACACCCAGAATGATACAAACAATCATACTCATGACGAATTTATAATACTTTCAGGTGGTCATTTAGGTACAGCTCTTGAATTGTCTGCAGCAGGGTTCATAGCAGAGTACTGGGGGTGGCCAGCTATATTCTATGTGATTGGTACTTTAGGAGTTATTTGGACTACCATCTACATATTCATTGGGGCATCCTCTCCTCAAGAATCGAGGTTAATCAGCGATACAGAGCGAAAGTACATTGAGCACTCGTTGGGACATGTCGTTGGACAAAAGGTATGAAGTTATTCCATACTTAACTAGTTCTTTACTTAACACTACTCGTATATATACTATAAATGGCAGAACAGTGATGAATGGATGAGAAAAACATTTTTTTTATATGTGTTAATGATATACTGCACCCGCCTGCGCTAACGGTATACGCTGGCGGGGCACCAGTGGAGGATGATAGGATGAGCATGAAGTTAGGGCAGTTAGCCCATCGTGATGAATTCACTAGGAATTAACACGATGGTTTTCAGGGGGACCGCGTGGAGGTCGACATGACATGATACATTATTAGCATTAGGGCTACTGTTCCCATTACTAATAATCCCTTCTCCCCCAGAAAAACATATTATATCGACCACAATTGAATAAAATAAGGAAGAAGATGATGATGATGGTAAATATCATCATCAATTTCAATAGCAATTGTCTAGTTATTAGTATCTAAGTATACAGTTTAAAAGATCGAGAATGATGTAATAATAGTAATATAGAAATTATAGATTTTACGCCACGTGTAGTATTTATGAGTATGTTTGTATCGGCCTGGGTATTTTTTTTTGTTTAATATGTTTATAATTTTTCACCGCCAACAATTATTCTCTGCACCACCTATGGTTGCCTGGTAGATAATGCCACATGGTGTTAAGTCCGCAAAATGTACTAGTACTGTATTATATTGTGTGCATTAAAGTTAAATAAATAAATAAAATATATATATATATATATATATATTCACAAAAAAAATGTATCCATGTCTATATTATATCAGTTTTCTAGTCCCAATAACACAAGCTCTGCTCAACTTGGAACTAGATGGCACTGTGTGAATTGTCCTGAGATATTACATATATTAAACCGATATAAAACATTGTTATATTTTATAGTTGTATGCTTTCTGTTGTGCATTTATTGAGTTGAGTTGCTCAATTTGAAGGATAGAAAAAATATTTTTTTTTATTAAATATTTTACGGCCCTGGAAATTTCCTTTCAGCCAAACAATTACATTTTACAAATACGAATCAGCTATTAATTACTAGGTACATCTATAGCGTCCTTATTAATTGGCAGTGTTGCCATAGGAGAATTTAGTCCCTAAAATAAAGTAATTTTTCTCTTTCAGAAATTAAGTACTCCCTGGAAGTCCCTGTTCACATCCATGTCCTTCATATCTTTGATAATCGTGCATTGCGGACAGAACTGGGGCTTCTGGACTCTCATGACGGAAATACCTTCGTACATGAATCAAGTGCTTGGCGTCAACATGAAATCAGTAAGGTCTTTTACAATTTTCTATTTAATAAACGCAATTTAGTCATTATGCACTGCTTGGTTTGGGACTAGATGGCGCTATACTATTGTATCGCTATAGGTTTATGCAAAACGAAATTATGAAATTATTTTTTTGAAAATACAAAAACAAATTTCAGTTAAGTTTCTTACCAGTTCTTCTCAACTGAATCTGTGTATCGAGCTGTGTTGGCTGTGTATCCAGTCCAATTCATACAGGGATCGGAACTACGACAGCCTGAAGGTTCGAATCCCTAGCGGTGCCCTCAGACTAGTCGTATCCGTTAGGCGGTAGTTGGCCTTCAGCCGCCCCATAAGTCCTTCCGCGGGTTTGGAGTGCCATCTGCACTGGCTCCCTATCATCCAGCGAATCTGTAAAGGCCAGCTGCGGACTAGCATTAGAGTAGTCCGAAAGAAAAATAAAAAAAAAATTAACTTGACGATAGGGAAAAATGTTAATACAAAAAAAAATACAATAGAAATTAGTACGAAAAGTTGCTTATGACTGTTATATTTGAAATTATTAAAATTCTCTCAGTAGTCTGTTTGTGTGTTCTTTAATAGAATGGTCTGATGTCAGCTCTACCCTACCTGTCGATGTTTCTGCTGAGTTTTCCATTCGGATTCATCTCCAACTATGTGATCAGCAAGAACTGGCTCAGTGTTACTGCCACCAGGAAAATATCAAATTCTATAGGTAGGTACTAACGTGTAATGTATAGATTGATAGATATAGACTTTATTAGCTGTGCCCACGGTTTTGACCGCGTGACACATATGATGATACACCCCTATTTGTTATTACCCACCCAGACCCACTCCGTAACAGATCCCCCGTCCAATTCAAACGGGGATCGATGTTACGACGGCCTGAGCCGAGGTTTGAACCCCTAGTGGTGCCCTCAGACTAAAGTCGTATCCGTCAGGCGGGAGGTGACTTTCAGCCGCTCCATAAGTCCTTATACTGCATAATACAGTACAATATTCTATTGGCACATTGATTTAAGAAGAAAAACTGTCCCGACAAACGTTGTTTTGCCTTAAAATATAAAAAAAAATTTAGAGATGGACTACCCCTAACATTTAGGGGGATGAAAAATAGATGTTGGCCGATTCAAAGACCTACTCAATACGCTCACAAAATTTCATGAGAATCGGTCAAGCCGTTTCGGAGGAGTATGGGAAAAACTGTGACACGAGAATTTTATATATAATAATAATAATAATCTCAGGACAATTCACACAGAGCCATCAAGTTAAGCTAGCTAGAGCTTTTTTTTTTGTAAATACATACATATTATACATAGAAAACACCCAGACCGATACAAACAATCATA